ATTCGGTTCGCGACCAGAATCGTGGAACGAATTAAGTTCGTGAACCGAGGTACCACTGTACAATGATAAAAGAATGAGGTCAGGTGTGTGGCAAATTTGTGATGTAAACTCCAGCCTTTTGTACTGGCATTCCAATGCTGGATGTATGCACATAATCAAGGTATTTGCCCGGTGGTATCATGACCCATTTTGTCACTTGCCCTCCTGACCCCCCTGAAAACACTTATGTTTTAGACAAATAGATAAGGCAAGATATAATTTTCAAAATAAATTAGGATTCTTGAAAAAATGATCACAGATCAGAAATCACTACCATGAGGCCTTCTCTTCTGCTCATTTAACTTAACATGTCAATGTAACATTTTCATTTCAAGAACAAAAATATAAGCAAAAGCTTAGTAGGAAGGGAGAGAAAGTGATCCCAACTCTAAAGGCATGGGAACACAACATTATTTAAATATGATATGCTGTCTAAATTTCTAAATATAACAGGATAAAAAAATGGACTTAAAAGAAATGCTAATTTCTGTTGATTAGATACTGAGAAAAGAAATATCAACTTGACATCTTTCTTGTATTTAGCTCATTGGAAATGATTCTTTGTTGTAGCTAAACCATTTATTTTGGGTGAAAGCATATTTTTATTTTGTACATGTATATTCCACTTCAATGAACTCAAAAGAGCTTTTTAAAAGATGAATAAATGTCATCATGGAGGTTAATAAACCAAGAAATTAATAGTAAAAGTAATGGAAGTCTCTTTCAAGTCAAGCTTAATCAACTGCTGCTCATTTTATCCATGTACTTTTCTTCAGAACAATAAGATGGAAATGATTTGTTACCTTCTTTTTTCAGGATTCTTCCCCCCAAGTTACTGATCTACTCCAAAGCCCTGGGATTTTCTAATGGTGTCTTATTGAAACACTAACTAGACCTGATACTGCTTAGCTTTTTGAGATCTACCAGATATCAACTAGATACTACCACCTAGCTAAGAGCAACAGCAAAACAAAACATTGAAACAATCAAAGACTGTCTTCAAAAAAAAAAAAAAAGTTACAGCCTATCTCCCCTCGTGACAACATTCCTTTATTTTAGATGGCCAACTATTCCATCCATACAGGCCATTGTACGTTCCTCATTTTTTACAACTAATGTTCCACATTCTGTGGCTTACGTGCTCCATCTTCTTTGGGCTGAACTGTTTGATTTTTGTTTGTTTTTTTACAAGAGTAGCATTGTCACCTTAGGTTTTCCATTATTTTGTTACTTCCTGCAAACCTGCTGCTTATTCCACATGCTTGCTTTTCAGTGTTATTTTTGTTTGGCTCCATTTATACTGACCCTCAACTATCTGCATTTGCAGTTGGTCAGGAACAGTTCTAGTTCAGCAGTAAACAATAAAATAGTCCCCCAGTGAAACAATGAAAAAGTAACAATGAAATCCCCTTTCAATAAATCTCTGAAATTCTCACTTTCGAAGGACACCTTGCTCCAGAAGCCTGAGCAAAACAAGACATTACCTTGAATAAATAAGCACACTGTAGAGGTGGCTGAAGACCATTTCTAGAAATAGGCAATGAAGCTAGAAGAGGATGGGGAAGAAGTGGGGTTTTCCAACAGGAGAGTCACTTGTCTTAGAAG